AAGACCAAGATGATAGCACTCCGATATCCTGACGGGCGTATTTACAGGTTCCGAGAAGGGACATAGAGCAAATCATCCGCCACTACTACTCGGATCTCTTCGCTAGCCATGTCCTCCCTCCTACCGTCATATAAATTGAAAGAGGGACCAGAGTTTCTTTGTAATAGTCGCACCTAACATATAAACCGTAGTGAACACACTATTAATCAACTACTCAACTATAACACGATTGGTGGTTGTCTCTATTTCAGATTGCAATACTTAAACTGGTAGCGAGTCAACGAAAAACAGTCACATTTCACATCGATTATCGATCGAGACAAAAAAGATATGTTCTTTTTTCTCGTCATGGAGTTGGACGGTAAAAGTCTTGCCGATCTTAGAGCATCACGGCCTAACAAAGTAAGAGCGCTTACACTGTCGCTCCCGTCGTGGGATTTCGCAAAAAAAATCTTTCTATATCCAGGTGTTCACAATGTCTACTTGTATGGTCGTGCCGGGCATACAATGTCTAGAGGCATGCGAAAGACTTACAGAAGCATGGTTTTATACATCGTGATTCGAAGCCGGCCAATTACGGATGTGGTTTAGGCGACAAGAAATGAGTGGTAAGAGTTTATATTCCATTAAAAGTGATGCAAGGTAATAACAACACATTAGGCATTTGGTTTGTTTGTCAAAAAGTCGGTAAAAATCATTTCTTTGTTTCTCTGACAAAGAAAGTAGCCAATCCGAAAGCATTAAATGAATTCCATTATCATTGGATATACGAAACTGTCAAGACATTTTCCGATGGAACTAAGTGATTTTCTTTGAAGATCGACTGGCATTGTGAATAACGAAATCATGGTATTTATTTGATAATTAATGGTCGCTAAAGGACCTCAATTAAAATTATGAATTCAGGAATTCAAGTAGAAATTATAGGTGTACATACTTGATTTTGGAATTGCAAGGAAGATCACAAATGTGAAAGGAGAGTTAGAGGCATCACGGACAAAGCTTCCGATTCAAGTTATCTGTTTGAGTTGACCTTCAATCTTCGCCACTATAGAATCCGACCAATCACGTTTACGACCCCAAAACTCGATGTTTGCCTTTTATAGAAGACAAGCAACGAACTGTTGCTTCATAAAATTAAAGACATTTCATAGAACATTCGTTAATGTTTCGTGTTACTCTCCAAATTAATCGTGTGTCTATGAGGTTTCTAAAACCACATGGAGCCTAGTACTAGGGATCTTACGTAATCTGAGAATGTCAAGTAACGACGAAGTGTTTGTTAAAGGTCATCAAAATTTCATTGAGATAATTCTTGCTCTGAGCAATGAAACGAAGGCGAAGACTTATCGTTTGATAAAGAGGAGTAAAGCTAATAATATACATCTATGGTTTCGAAGAATCTTTACGTTTTTGCTTTATAGGCTAGCATCTCTCACCAAACTAAGTGGATTTGACACTCAGAATTTGACGTTTTACCTTTGATAATGGAAGCTACTGAAAATCTTATTTATTAAGGGAACGATTAGATTCGCTTCAATGGCCTGTCACAGAAATGTTGAGATGGGTCCGAAAGATGATTGCGAATCGTGGTTTTACCTTATACTGGATATAACTATACCAGGAGGTTTATTTTTCGACAGAATTCTTGAAATTCGTTAATCTTTATCATATTTTATGAAAGAAATTGCAGCAAACAAATGTTAAGCAAACTAACAACTAAGAAATCATCAGGAACAGTTGAATAGTAGCTATAAAGTACTTGGGAAAATTATGGATATACATGGCAAAGAATCCACTATACATATACTATCTGGACGAATTTTCTGCTTCACTGCTTTTCATCAGTGAAATGATGCTCATGACTCTTTGGGGACGAAGTGTTACAAAACGTGGCACGACGGGGGCGAAGTGTGTCTCACTCAGTTACTGTGATTGATGGTGTCGCGCCTTTCCGCAAACTTTTATCCAAGTGCTCCACAATGAAACTAACGGAAATTACTAGATAATTTTAGATTTCGAAGAAACATTATCATTGAAGTGATAGAATATCACTAAAAGGCTTCTATAAGAATAAGTTCAGCAAAAAGAACGTCCATATTCAAAAAAATCTAATGTATCACTGAGTGTAATTTGCTCTAAACTTTGTTAATATTTCATACGAATAATAGGGATACACGTATAGCTGGTATTTAATCGATGTTCAGGTGGTTTAGCAATTTTGAGACCCTGTAGTCAAATATGGGCGGCCACAGAGTTTCCCAAGTGGCTCAACAGGAGCAGTCTTAGACTAACATGAATCGAAGGTTTTCACACTAGGAATGCGCTTCCGCAGAGATCAGTAGCGACATTTTTGGCCTCCGAAGTCCGTGATTCTGTATTGTGTAACTCCCTCAGAAGATAATCAAGTAATACATTTTGAAAATGAGGAACGTGTACTTTGTGTTTTACATGAGTGAAGCGATGAATAGAGGTGACAAAAGACGAAAAAAATGGAAAGTTAAGGAGAAATAAACAAATAAACGGAGAAAAAAATGGTAACATTGTCAGTCATTACGCCTCCCGATGTTCTATATGAAAACCTGATTTTACAGGATTACTATGGAAATCCAAAAATGAGAAGGATGACGTACTAAAAGTAAAGGAGCAAATGCGCGCTGAAAAAAGGGTAAGTGCCGTTATTATCACTTCCAGAAAACTGGAAAGCACGAATGCCAGATTTGCATCTGCTCAGAAAGTCGTTCGAATGAATCCATCATAGGATCACTTTATCTGTTATGTTTCGAGAACATTTATTGATTGACATGGGCCTACGTTAGTATCATCAAAGGATCAGAATTGTTGCATGGTGCCTTTTCGTTCAACCAATTCCTCGGGGAGCTACCCCTGTATAGAGGGCGCACAACAAACTTTTTACAATTAGCGTGCTGTGATGCAATCACCGTGATGTCTTTCAAAGTGTTTAATTATCGTATGCATGCGTATCGTCTATTACCTGGACATATGTAATTGATTGTCAATCGAGTGCAATCGACTATTCTGAGATCTCGGTCAAGGACAATGTAATCTGACAATGCATATGAGATTGTTATGAGGTCTGTATAAGCACTTATACAGTGCAGATTACGAGTTTAGGCCTTCTGGCCTAATAAGTTGCACGGTGCCTTTTCCTTCATTCAGCTCCTAGAGGATCTCTTTTCAGATTATATTGTTGTCGAGCAAGGTCTCAAAATAGTCGATTGCATTGTTTATCATGTATGCCCACGTAACAGTCATACGCATGTATTCGACAATCAGACACTGGAAAAAAACCTTATAGTGATTGTTTACGTCGAGTGCTTGGTTGTCGCTTCCTCTATACAGGGGTAGATCCCGTGGAAATTGACTGAACGAAAGGCAGCGTACCACTGACGCGGCTGGAAGACCGAAACACGTGTCTTTCACGATACAAGTACCCATAAAAAACATCATAAAAGGCTAGAAACGCGTAATTAGATTATAGTGTTCTAATGCGAGGTGTCAAAATAGTCAACTGCACTGACTGATCACAGTTGTGCTTTTAAAGGTCGCAGAACAGGCACTTTTTTGTTTATTTCTCGTTGTTATCCTAATAGTGCTATCACAATCATTATCTCCAACTCATAGCCAAGTTCGTTGTCCGTAATCATTTCTGCAAAGTGTATGACCAAACGCAATACTTCAGGATGCTGCTCTCGGTGGTGTACCACGTAAAGAAGAACTTAGCAAAATGCTCGATTACATTGACAGCTTAAAGTATCACGACCACGTCGACTACGACTTTATCTACAAGTTATCAGAACAGGTTCGAAAAATATCAGTTCGATTATAGTTTTCACTAAAGCAAACGCCTTTTTGAAACACTAAAGGACGGCCCGACATGCTTTAGGCCAACATTAGTCCATCCGCATCCGAAGAGATCGATGAGTTTGAGATCACGAAATAGGTCTTGAGTACTTCTTCACGTCCGTAATAGACATCACCATAGAGAAATGCGGTAGAAAGATGCGAATAGAAACTTCAGTGGGGATCTTACTATCAATGAAGATTGGCCGTTACAATTTTAGAATAAGTAAGATACATTAAATTGAATGAATGCCCAAATTAGCGAAACTTTTCTTCATAAAATTCTGAAATAACCGTGCCGTAAAAGTAGAGTTTAGTAAAATCAATAAACTACGTAGAACGGCAGATTGAGATAAGCCAAGCTTTAGAGGATTTTTTTTTCAGAAAATTTCTAATCGACCCGCTTTCCGACTTACCGTGCAGATCTATGCACTTCTGCATTCTATTTCTTCATTCCACCCATAATGCTAATAACCAACGAAATAGAAGTTCTCATGATTTCAGAGCATGATTGAACTTAGTGGTGTGCTCTCGAAGATGGCATCACTGCCACTGCTCCACTCCACCGCACTTTTCATGTGATACATACAAAACTGGAAACGTAGTGTTTTTAGGTTTTATGAGTGACTGTGGTTTTATAGGGAGCGAAATCAGCAGGAGGCGACACTAAGGACCCTTATGATTGGGAAAAAAGTGTCGAAACGTTCTGTTACCACAACTGTAAAGGCGCCGTAATTCCCGAGCCATAGGAAACCATTTGAATACTTCAAAGTGAAAACGAATCAATGAATTGTTTTTGGATAACCTTGTATTCGTCTAGTTTTTTCTTACTCAATATTTCTCACATTGTCCTAACTGTAATAATATACCAAACAATAGAGAGTGTTTCCTTTAAATCCAGTCACGCTGACAACTATTGGATGTTTTCAATTAAAATAAATTTTTCATTTAACTGTTTTATTAGCACTATTATGATGTTATAATTACGCATGCGAGAATGCTGAGTGATATGCAAACATTCGCCATCAGAAGGAAGTTGAACCCATGTTTTACCCTAGCATGGCCTTATGTTACCATTAATGCACTGAGTTCCTTGCTCTCTTCCTGTTCAAGATTTCTAAAAACACTGGAGATTTGCCTCAGTAGCTCAGTTGGGAAAGCGTTAGACCGAAGGTCTAGGGGTCACCAGTTCGACTCTGGTTCGCGGCAACCGTTTTGTTCATAGAGGATGCACCACTCTATGTTCCTTGTGTATGCTTTAGCCCGAATGTGCCCAGGCAACAGACACATCTCATAATTCAGGATATAGAATAGTTTTACAACCGGAGATTCAAGGATAAGAGAAAAAAATACATAGGATGGAGCATTCGAGACTGATCAATCCGCGTAGGGTGTGCCATGCAGTAAACTTTAGTGAACTCGTTATAAATGATTAAATGATCATCATGGCTTCACTACATATGGGCGTTAGACTAGCACGTAGTTGATACATAGATCTATCCAGCCAGCGTTTCGCACCATCATCGTTACTAGAATCGAGTCACGTGGAGTCGTTGATCTACACACAGATGGTCGTTTGCATTCTAGTGCACAAATCAAATGGTAATCTGGGGCGGCAGTTTTTGACGTTATAATGGGTGTGTGCCAAACTGATCAAATGACGACAGCCCGAGTCAAAGAATAGAATCGGAGAGTGGCTTCACTTATATCACGAAATCTGATCACACTTTTGGTAAGGTGTCTTTAACTGGTTCCGGAGAAGAAATAGTCACCGATGGCCTAAAATGTTTGCAGTAATAGAGAATTTCAGCTTTCAAAATGTGAAACATAGGACCTAATGATTTTGTTAATACTCACAATAACGAGTGAATACACCAACAGCTAGCCCATTCCGATATTGTTAATGTGTTTCCCACGGGTAACACCTGCACTGCACATATCACTTTCAGTCGCAAACCCAAAAAATCTTTCACGCTTTTTATACGGTGTTCAGCAAGCGCTGTGGAGTCCAAGTAAGCTTCTGTGACAAGCTCGTAGTAATCTGAAAGTCCGGTGAATTATTTCGCTGTGATGATTATTGTTTAAACTGCGAGACATGCATAACGCATTTTAGAATTCAAAGCACCTTATTTAGAAATACTAAATATTTGTTAAGATGATACGTCCATTCGGGATAAAATGAAAAATATTTTCACTCAAGCTTCACTGGTATTAGGAATTCCATCGAGATAACAGTTCAATCACTGATTCACTGAAAGTATCATCCTTATAACTTGTTTGCCACTGGGACAGCCTCCAGCCGAAAATGACACCGCCTCAAAGGAATATAGTCACCATAAATACCATAACAACGATACCGGAACGGCTTGACTATACAGTGTGCGTTGGCTGCAAGTTTAACATGGTCTTCGATTCTCATATTTCAAGCACCACTAGAGACTCGCATCTATTACTTCTAAAGTAGAGATGATGAACTCACATTTAGTTCAAGTGAAGCCCATGAAAATGGACTCAAAAGCTGACTGATTCATAGTTAATACAATTATCTACTTCTTCACACAGAAGACCGTCACCTCATTTAAACAGAAAAGCGTTTTAAAAGTGTTTCAAAGGAAACTCCTAAGAGCTTGTGAGAATTACAAACGTGAAAAACATCTTCCGGTTCCCCACGCAATAACTATTTTTACGGCGCCTTCTGACACTCCCGTGACATTCCTTGACTTTTTAATACTCGAGAATGCTGTGTTGTAATAACCACAATGGGAACATCCCACAACGGGACGGCTTTAAATTCAGCCTTTAACAATATACCGTTGTTTCCACAGATCGCAACTTTCTTCAAAACCTTCTGCAAAAGTATAACTTCACAGCTACGACCTTTCAGCACAGCCCAGCTAACTACCAATCACTGAAATCGTATGCCGTTAACGTTCGTTGTCCAAAATATCAAATGAAATTTCTGTAAGTGTCATGTGAACATTTGCTGAGAGAAGTATTGTTTAATCCAAAAATGATTAGCCAGATGAAAGATATTAAGCCGATAGCAAAAATTATGAAATTCAGGTAGGAAAATGAACACGGTGTTCCACGTTTCCCAGGGCGTCGATTGTGATACGCGGACTACATCACTGAGGCCAATTGCTATTACCTCTTACTGCCAATATGCAGGGTACGAAATGGAAGACGGATTTGGTATCATCTTCTTCTCTACATTTCAGATGTGTGCAGTCCGAAAATGATGGCACATAGCGGGACAATTCGAGCACGCTCGAGTGGAAAAGCAGTCTCATCAGCAAATTGATTGTTGTCAATTTCATGTCCTGGGTTGTAGCTCAATAGCAAATATTACGATGGCATTAGTGGCTGCCCAAGTTAAAGGAGTAGCACGTTTACAATTCACTTACTTTATGCGTAGGAAAAAATTGCTCTAGTGGCAAACTGATGCACCCAACAAAACAGTTTCGAGAACCACAGGTAACACTGTTTCACAGTAAGCCCGGCAACAAAAAAACCGAGCACACCAACCGGGAGTCGAACACGTGTATCCTGTACCTTGGCGAGGCTACCCTTAATGCCGTCTATACCATTGGTGGCTCAGGAAGAAGTCATGAAGCGTTCTCTCCACATTCGCTGAAACATAGTTTCTTAGCACTAACAAAAAAAACCAGTAGGACTGTGTAGTGTAATATTTAACGTCGAACTTTCTAGGTAACAGGTTGGGAGGCGTTCTAGGTAGATACAATTCTAGCCAATCACAGTGAATTACGTAAACCTTTGATTTGTTACTTTTTCATTAAACATATAATGCGTGGGCTCTTGTGTTCAGTAACTTTTAATTTTTAATAGCCCAGGTTGCAATAGCGGAATCTCAAATGAAAAAATATTCCCAAGATGATCTTCGAATCATTTAAAATAGAGCGATTCATCAGCGCTAAGCAAGTTTACGTGTCGAACTATTCAGGGAGTAGTAGGAGCTGGTGGAGTTAGATACACTGATGCGGAACCACTAATAATTCTGTAACTTGTGTTTGTTTCAGTAACGATTAATTTTTTTGTTGTAACCACAAGGACGGGGTCACTTTTTAAATTCTGTTTTCAAACAACCCTAAAATAGAACTCTTTGAACTCGTTATGCGGACTGCAGCTATATAATCGTTACACTTAGTACTCCTGAACCATCGTTCTCGTGGATTTCAGCTGTAAGGCCAATCTTTTTCAAAAGGCGTTGTTCCCGAAATCGGTCACACATTTATCTTCACCCCCCGCATTGTCCCATCCATGTATCGCATGACGCTAGTTGTCGAGAGTATGGCAGTGTAATAATTAGGTGCCGAAAACTGTACCGCTTTATCGACTTCCTCTCCTTACGTCCATGATAAAATGTTGCAGAACAGCGATATTGTTTTTTGGTGGTGAAATCTTTATTTTGTAGCGCATCAAGGCTCATTGTCGGATACCGAATAAGGAGACTGGTTCATCCAGAGCATCTATAATTGCTTTAGTTTCAAATCGAATCAAGTGCCTTTCTTCAAATCGATTAAGCTACCAGGCAAGCGCAGAACGCGAATTCTGTACCCTCGTGAAACTCTAATGGAGTCTTATGGTCGTAGTGGAGTGTGGTCTAGGGTACGAATTTCGTTTCAAAACCTCTGCTTATTCGCCATGGCTGTGTCCTTCGTTCTGTGTCTATCATTCTGTTTAGGATGACCCGAGTGAAGAGGTTATAGAGAATGGACGTGCACTGAAGTCTCACTCTTTCTCACAGCGACACATTCTTGCATGATTTCACTAATTGGGAACCGTGGATTCTTGACAGCTAGCAAGTGAGGAGCGTGCAAGAGTGGCTGATGAAAGCTAGCGGTAGATTCCTCAAGCGTCTATGGCTCAATCCTGTCTGGGACGGGGTGTTGATCTATTCGTCTACAGGGTATATACGTGTCGAATTTCGGAAGGGAGGACCGGTGGAAAGGCAGATTCATCATCTTTCAATTCATACGACGGTTAAAAGGAACATGGTAATGAAGGGGCCCAAATAGTATTCGTAAAAACTTTCTTCATTGCCCTTCTGAAAGTTGTAAAATGCCTCGATATTGCATCGGAAAGCAATCATCTTAGTCTTGCAACTGGCGAAGCTTCGCTGGGTTTGCGAGTGCTCTTCCAGCTTCTGCATTTTTTTGCCATAACTGCTGCTTGTTTCTCTTTGAGATCTTCTTCGGTTGCCTGTAGCTCGTGCGATTTCACGTTGACGTCTCAAGTCGACTGTTTGCAAAGACAATCGTTTCTTCGTGACATTAGGACTCGCGGCTTTCACAGCACTGACGTGAGATATTCGATGAGGCGGTCGTTATTGTTCGCTGATGTTGCTGTAGAACGGTATCTTCACAGGAAGAGCCGACTAATGACATGATTACATCTTAATTTATTGTAGATCTGGGGACTTCGTTGTTTGAATTTGGCCTGCTTTCACTTTTTTCGCCAAAAGCGGAACGTTGCGCGAAGGAGACGACGGTACTGATTCCGTGTGGGAAACTTAAAGCAACAGCGACATAGGTTAGGCAAAAAGCTGCAATTTACTAAGATGTGGTCTATTTCTTATAATACTCTCCATCGAGAGACTCCCATCGTCAATCAGTGATGAGTGAGGCTTTTGGAACATTGTGAGTTATCCATGGATGGCTAGGCTAGTCATGATAAACTCAGATAGCCTCTTACGCTGTTGATTCCATTCTAGCCCGTGGGTCCCAATGTGACCTTCTTCAGACGTTTCTTCTAGGGTCCAATTTTTTGCATCAAAATCTCCGACAATGACTTGAAGAATGTATAATCTTCTTTGAAGAATTTTTGGAAAACCCTATAGAGCGCTGCGACTTTGTCTTCGATCATAGCTTGATGTTGGTGCGTAAGCAACCGAACATGGTCAAAGCGGTATTGACCCACATCGTTTAAACCGCAGTCGTCCAATATGGGTTGTTAGTAGTTCAAATGAATAGATGTTCACGGTCAGATTTGATTTTGACGAGGACGCCAACGCCGGCTACACCTGTGTCGATCTTATGTTCCACGGAAACAGCTCTTTCTCTGGTGTCATAGTCAGGGTGAAAAGGATGGCGTGTTCTTAGCCAGGGCAGTGGCATCGACCCTATCCTTCTTGGTTGCATCAATAGATCTTCTACAACGGATTCGTATTGCAAAGCTGTGTGCAATATAGC